CAAAAAGCTCAACCAATCAAGAAAAACGCTCAGAGAAATCAGAGGCAATGTAGTTGTGCACCTTCTCGGCTCACCAACTTCCTGTGCAGGAAATGTGGCAGAGTCTGCCATGCCAGAGTGAAGATCCTGAACTACACCAGACAGAGTCAAGAGAGTTGACCACCAAGAGACAAATCATTGTCTTACAAGATAGAAGGCTGCTACACAATGTATCAATCAATATATCAATGAATCAAATATGAACCTCAATTGAAATCTAAACAGTATTACCAATGAGGTAGAAATTCATTTAGGCTGTTTGAGCACTTCATCTTAGAAGCCTGAAGCAAGGCTTCAAAACTTCAAACATTATTAGGTGAGCTACCTGTCACTTGCACAGGCAACACACCTATTGAAAGATAATAAAGGTCCAGCTGGTACCACTTCTGAAGAGGAGTCACTGGACTCAAAACGTTTACTGATTCTCTCTCTCTCCACAGATACTGTCAGACCTGCTGAGTTTCTCCAGCACTTTCTATTTTCTCTATATGGTTTCACAGATTCACTTCATTATTGTGACAAACAGAATAGCCTCAACCAGGGAGACAGTATATTGGCTACTTGATTTTAAGAGAGAAATGAATGTACTTGAGACAACACTAGCAACAAGTCATCTCCTGTATATTCTAGGTTTCATTTACGTCAAACTAATCAGAAAAATTACTTGCAAATTGAGACTACCTACTAGAACATTGAAGGTAGCACATTAATAGGGTGCAGACTAGACCGTGAACCAAGGCAGACGACTATCCTACTGTGATTTTTTTAATAAACTTCACTATTGTTGTTTTAAGGACCTGCAGAATTCCTACGATTCACAAAGATGAAAGACTTCAGAGAAAGTCTAACAACAAAATTCACTTGTCTCATGTAAAGTCAAGTGATAGTTCCAAAAAATGTTTAACATAAGAATATTCACAGTGTCAATCCTTAACAATGTTACTGTTTAACTGTGACATTCAGAATTTTAAATACTTTGAAATGCAGGGCAATTGTGTCTTACAACGTCAAACATTGTCATTTGATGTCTGGGAAACAGGACTTCGTGCATTGTCTGCTACATTATTTTCAGATGTTGATCCTCAGAAAGTTAGAAGGAATATGGGGTAATGACACACAAACTTGGAGCCTTGCTAATAACATTAGGAAATCAAGATACTTATATCAAGTGAAAGCAATTGGAGAACTGGTTTTCAGATTTTTCTTAAAGACAGAAATGAGTACTTGAATTTTCTTCATACACATATTCAGGATATTATATCAAATTTAGTTATCTACCTTAAAATTTGAGGCCTCCCGTTCTTTGCATTGGCCAATTAACTTACTAATAATTTTAAAATACTTTCTTGATCTCTTAAATGAACATGTCATTTGTTTTAAAGTATGTAACAAATACAAGTCATATATTGGTTTCTATTCACAAATATACTTATGATCTTAACTTGTTCTAACTTATATGTTAAGAGATGGTTCAGCCTAGTCTGTCTCCACTAAATCTAATCATTTGTTATAATAGAATTGGACAGAGGAGACCGAGCTGGGATAATAATGAAATTACTTACGGTCTAACCAATAAGCAAAAATCCTGCTATCAGTAAGCATTCAACTGCTCTAATTCCCCAAGACCACAAACTATCTAGGAAGTGTGCAGAGATTAATGTGTGTACTTGATTTTATGATGGTTTCAATTTTCAAACTCTGACTGCACATCAACAATTGTAACTACTATTTTTATAACATCTTTAGAGTAATAAAACATCCCATTTCACAGAAACACTATCAAACAAAATTTGATTCTGTGCCACATAAAATGTTAAGGCAGGTGACCAAAACCTTGGAAGGTTTTAAGGAATAATTGAAATGGGGAAAGAAAGAGAGGCAGTTTTAAGATTGGAATTCCAGGGCTTGTGGCCTGGAGAGCAGGATATATGACTATGAAGTGGAGGGATGATGTTAATCCTTGAGCATGATTTGTTCCTCAAATTATGGAATACACACGTTATTTTGCACATTGATTAAAAATATATTCCATACTTCACCTTTGCTCGATTGCACTTATTTATGCTTTTTTTGGTCAAGTGATGCTTAATTAGGTAACATTACTTTAACGTGCTGTCATGGAGTTCACAGCCAATTATGGCTGCCTTTCACCTTATCCCCAAATGATCCTGTTCGTTCCTGTCCCAGTTCCAATTTCTATGTTTTGGAGCCTCTGAATAGCTTATAGGACCTTCTTATATTTTTTAAATTCTGCACAGTCCATAAAGCAGATTACCAATTCATATCTTGGTTGGCCTCTATAAAAAATGTGATCATGTCATGCAATATTATGTGCTTAGCGCCACCTAGAACTACAATCCCTTTAGCATGTTGCAATCTCACAGCTAAGCTATGGGTAAAAATTGTGTCATGCTTTAATAGTCTTCTTACAGTTCACTAAAACACATGCTGAAGTACTTGTTTTAGTTTATATAAGTGAAAAGGAACTTACTTTGTTACACTTAATTACATAAGGTACAAATGTTAACCAACTTCTTACATCAAGACTGAAATTTAAGTGTTACTCAATACTGAATGTACTAGCCCAGAGATCATCAATTAGAGTGATAAAATATTTAGAAATAGAAAATGTTAACAATTTGATGGTGTGGCACTGCCCTGAGGCAATGCTATGTAGACTATGTCAATTTCCTAGGGGACACAATGCCAAAAGCTACTACCAGCATGGGTTTCTTCAATGGAATCAAAGGGGAATGTAAGCAAGTTATGCAGATAGTGGTGCACAGTGTTCTCAGGAAATCTGTGTAGTTCATGTGATTCTCCTTCAGAGGCACAATGCAAACAAACGCTTTCCCCCAAGGAATTTTCCACTTTGTACTGTCAGTGCAAATTGCACTTAACAGGGCAGGAGGGTGTCATTTCTGTAACCTGTTAAAATAAGATTTTCTACATTCACATAGGGGCGCCCAAAATCACGAATTATCAAGTACACTTCCCAGTCTCACCTGCTATCTCCTTGTCTCTATTGCTTTTAGGGTCAATACCATGAGGATTATCAACTGCAAGCAGCATGTCTTTCCTCAAAGCAACTGGCTGCTGCCCGGTCCATTAGACATTCCAAGGCTGGGCTACTTCAGTAATGTAAGAACATTGCACCATTGGACAATTTCCTGACTACCTTATTGACTTTGCATTCCACGACAAAGTAACTGCATAGAAACTGGAAGATCTCTACCCTGCTACCGTTTTTTTTATTGAAAAAAGTGTTAACAAGTACCCGAATACATTTTAAATCTTTCAGCCCAGTGACAGTACACAAACAAAAATGGAAAGAAATTACTTACCAGTGCCCCCAATGCAGTGGTCACTGGGCAGAATCAGATGGTAGAATCAATTAATATGGAAATCCAGAAAGGTTTATAGTAACAAACCAGCAATTGCATTTCTTTCAACTGAACTGGGCAAAGTTTACACTGCTCATAATACTGCTACGAAATCGTAGGGAACAGGAAGAGGCCATTCAGCTCCTTGAGCCTGCCCTGCCTTTCAATAGGATCATAGCTGATCTGACATTCATCACGTCCATTTTCCAGCCCTTTCCCCATAACCCCCGGCTCCCCTACTGATCAAGAATCTCTCTCAGCCTTAAATGTACACAAAGACTCTGCTCCGAAAGCTCTCTGTGGCAAGGAGTTCAAAGACTCACAACCCTCAGGGAATAAATTCCTCATCTCAGTTTTAAATTGGCATCCATTTATTCTGAGTCTATACCCTCTGGTCCTAGACTCTCCCAAGAGGAGAAAATATCCTCTCAGCATTTATCCTGTCCAGCCCCTTAAGAATCCTCTCAGTTTCAAAGAGATCACCTCTCATTCTTCTAAAATGCAATGAATAGGGTCCCAACCTGTTTAACCTTTCGTCCAAAGACAATCCCTTCATCCCAGGGATTAGCCGAGTGAACCTTTTCTGAACTGCCTCCAAAGAAATGATATAAAGGGGAGCAAAACTGCTCACAGTACTCCAGATGTGGTCTCACTGTACTGTGCTGGCAATGCACACACCAGAAACCCAGACTCAGTGAGAGATCCAGGCCACAAGTGAGTGAAGTTTGCTGTCCTGGGGAAAGGGGTTGCTGGCTACATGAGTGCAAGAAGGAAGGCCAAAGGGAAGGTTCTCAGCAAGCCCCCTTTCCCCACTTCCCAAAGTCAGGTCCCTCAATCAACCGTATGACTCACAACAAGGGAAACTCCTTGCAGCTACCCATGACACTTGCCAACCGAGATCTAATTGGGGCAGTGGCAGGAAGGTACCCACCTTTCCAATTAAATGCCTCTCTGCCTCCAAACCTGTCTTTGGATGGGAATTAAATTTCACCCATGAGTGGTTGCAGTGGGACATACGGCAGACTCAAGCTGACATAAGGCCTGGGCCATTTTCACTTTAGTCAACATCAAACTGTTATCTTGCAATAATATTAGCTTTGTGAAATGTTCTAAATTCAGTGTACTGGGCTGAACTTTTGAAGGATTCTTTCCTGTGCTAAAATGCAAGTAACACCCACCCAGATTGAAAGCTGAACATACCTCTGCAATCAATTTCCTTACATTAGGCAGCTTGTTCTGCCTTCACAAGAGCATCAACAGAACCAATATTAGCCCTCAGTCAGCAGTGATCAAGTAAAGTCCTTATACCGGCATAGTGGGCAAAAATCTCCCCCTTGACTGGGGGAATGAAGCAGATTTATTTTGACCCTCTCCCTACTGGAATTTCAGCAACTGTTTTACAAGGAGTAGAATCTGAAATTATGCCTCAAATCTTGATTTCTCTCTCAAGTGCTGGCCCCACTCAATAGATCCACCACCATTCTGCAATTGGAGACAACATGAATTTTGTAACCCATGGTTACTTGTTTAATGCTTCTAGAAGTAAAACTTAGCTGTGTGTTTTAATTGTATACTTACCAAACACCGACTTGATCCTCCGTAAGATGTTGCAGACTGCAGTCTTTTTCTCCCTAGCAGATGTGGTTAGATATTCACGGTCAAGAAGTTCCAGGAATAGATGTAATTCGACAATTAACTCCTCCATCACTGAAAAGAGCAAACAGCAATGGTTAGCCTGCTAATAGTCCACTAACAATGAGAGTGTTGGAGCAATTTTACAAATCTGCATTTCCAGTGGGAATGGCACCTACATAGAGCTTATTTTAGGAATTTGCAGATCAGCAGTCTTTTTGTCCTTTCTGTCCATTTACAATAGATGGAAAATAATGTATTGTATACTGTCTAAAATAAACCTTATTCCTCACTCAGATGCAGAATCAGTCCTTATGTACTGTTCTGAGGAACATCACATTTCTGCATTGTTCGGTTACAAATATCCTAATACCACACCTTGTATTGTCATTTGTATTGAACCCAAAAGCCTGCCATTAACTTCTGACTGACATGATAACTCTTTGAAAAAGAATGGCAATTGCTGGGTGCATTTAACTTTAAACAGTGGTTAGCACTGCTGCCTCACAGCGCCAGGGACCCGCGTTCGTTTACACCCTCAGGCAACCGTGTAGAGTTTGCACATTCTCCCCGTGTTTGTGTGGGTTTCCTCCGGATACTCCGGTTTCCTCCCACAGTCCAAAGATGTGCAGGCTAGGTGGATTGGCCATGCCAAATTGCCCAGTGTTCAGGGATGTGTAGATTAGGTGGGTTATAGGGGGATGGGTTTGGGTGGGATGCTCCGAGGGTTGGTGTGGACTTGTTGGGCTGAAGGGCCTGTTTCCGCACTGTGGAGATTCTATAATTAGTAAATCATCATTCTTTCTAGCTAATAGGCTCACTCTTATTACAGTAATGTACACACCCTTCTCTTTGCTGATGCTGTTACACTAAACTTGGGTTCAGCAAGTTCCTGCAGACTGCTTTCACCTCAATCTCACAGTCACCACTGATTGGATAAGCATCAGATAGAATTGAGATGTAAGGAATGTAAAAAGGAAAAACAAAACCTACGAAAAAAAGAACTGTATGTTCCCAGAGCAATGTGCTAGCTGTTCAGTATCTCCATGGCAAAGATGCTCCTTGCATTTCTTTACTTGGATTTCTAATTGTTTGATAGGCAAGATAGTACAGGAGAATGGTGTCTTTGCAGATTAATCCATAACAGCTAGTGGCTCCTTCAAGCATTTGCTGTAAAGGGCCTCATCTGCACCTCATCAGTTGTAAGGCTGTTAAGAAACACCATTATATTACAAGGACATCTTGCTACATATCTGTCTTATGGTCTCTTCCATGTTGATAGTGAGATCACCAGCACTTCAGACTCAAGACAGGTGCACAGAGGCCCTATAGCAGAACCAATGGCAACGATCAAGCAACTGGGACAGCAATGACTAGCAAAATTTCACAGTCAAAGGTGAAATTAAAATATAGCTATTGGACAATGAGTGATGAGTTGAAAAGTGACAAAAGGCTGAGGCAGGGCATTTTTTTCTATAATTTCTTTTACTATTAGTTAACTTTCACACTGTTTTTGGTTTGAAGCTAGTTTGCACAATCTCTGTCAATGTTCCACATTTGTGGCTACATTACAAAGAAAGAAAATGCATTAAGATATCAATCAAGGAACTGAATAGATTTTTACTCACTGTAAAATATTGTATTATTATAAAATGCCATGTAAAATGCGGTGGTATTGTACTACATAGGCCAACAATGCCCAGTTTTTACAGCATCTCCCCAGGTGGGATGCTACAAACAAAACATTTTCTGCGAATAAGAACAAGAATCAACAAGGGTTGTTGTTCCTCAGAGGTGGAGTGACATAGTTAGATCCTAGGGAAGCATTAGTTTCAGCATGGTTAGGAGGTGTTCCCTAACATGTTGCACTCCTCCTGTGATCAAATGACTTGTCATCAATCACCATCCAAGCTCACCTTCAAAAGATTCAAAAGCAGCTATAGAGTGAGAAGATTTTGAAGGTGAGATGGAAACACAAATATTTCACCTGTCATTCTACTAAATGGACCCATTATATAATCAAATGACTCTAAGTTCAAGTTCAAGTTCACAGAATCTCTACAGTGCAGAAAGAGGCCATTTGGCCTATTGAGTCTACACTGACCCTCGGAAGAACACCCCACTCCATCCCTGTAACCTGTGCGGGGTTTTACCTTGACTAGCCCATACATCCCCGGACACTGCAGGGCAATTTTATTTTACCATGGCTGATCTGCACATCTTTGGACTGCTGGCATTCTGCGTAATCAGCATTAACCTTTGCAAATTTCAATCCTCATGGGTGCATGGCTACAGCTACATTGGAGAAGTTTACCTTCAGAGACATTTTTGGTGTTGAGAATATGTCAGTATCTCCCATCCCTCCAAATAATTAATTTATTTAGGTTTAAAGTGTTGATGTTTTGATTCTCTATACCATTCTATTATTATTGTCAAAGGAATTTGGGGAAGGGGGATCGGAAAAGGGACTAAATAGCTCCTTCAGAGGAATATAATGGTCTAAAAAGAGTTTCCTAGGATGCTTTTGTATTCTGTATTTTATGCAGGAGTTAGGGGATAGAAACTGGTCAAGATAAGAGAGCAAATGCAGCAGCAAAATGAGAATTGGGTACAAAATAAAACTGATTGAACATGAGAAAACAGTCAATTCAATAAATAGAAATCCAGATAAAAGAAAATGAACCAAAAAAGAAGCAAGAATGACGTACAGAAGGAGAAAATGTGTGAGTAAATACAAATCAGCCTAAGAAAAAGAGAATGCAAGAACATCAAAATATCAATTAAAAAAATATAATGGGCTGCATAAAGCAAATCAGAAACTTAGGGGAAGAGAAAGAAAAAGTATAATGGAGGGATCGAGGAGGAAAAAGGAATTGAGAAACATGAGTGATGAAAAATAGAGCCAAAAAGGGGCAGAGGAGAAAAGAATACTTAAAAAAAGGAGGTCAAACATTCAGAAAGAAAAACAGGCTGTCAGAAGAGAGAAATACAAGACAGACTAAAGATAGATACAAAACAGGAAGAGAACTGAGACAGAAAAGGGAAAAAAAGCAGCCAGACGGAGAGGAGGAGGATAAAACAAAAAAAAAAGATAAATAGAAGAAAAGAGTTAAGAAATAAATACAGAAGGAACTCATGGGAGGGGCGCATGGATACTTAAAAAGGACAGGGGACCCTCTGGTCATCCTTCTCTACATGCACAATGAACAGCCATTGATTGTCCACCAAATACCTGAAAGAATAGGGACAGGAGTAGGTGAGCTGTGTACTTCCAGATCTACCTCCCTCAAGCTGGTGGAAACCATAAAATTCAGCTCATTGTCTGTTAGCAAACCACAAGAAAATTTGAGACCTGCCTCTCTCTCTTATTCCAGGAGGAAATAATCCACAATAGGGAAGAGAGAATCATGACAGGTGGTGGGCTGCCCAAATTCAGCTGTCACCCCTTATTTGGAGAGCATCCAAACTCTGACCACCATGAGCTGTTGACTGACTCTATCCAAGCCCGAGGCTTCTCCTTGCAGTGCTAGTCTTCGCACAGGAAGTCTTATCTCCGTTGACTTGACTAAGAATTGCTGACAACCAGACATCAAAGCAAGACAGTAGTAACATGAGTCTGGTATCTCTGGTTGAGGGGGCACAGTACAAAAAAGCAAGACAAGGCAATGCAAGGAGGGAATGCTATGAGCATCAAGGTTGGCTCACAGAGAGAATGAACACTATGACAGTATGACGTGGAGAGTGAGAGGACTATTTCCTTTTATTTTGTGCCTTTTAAAAATAAAATGTATCTACGGAAATAAGAGAGAGGTATTAAAACAAGTATTTGAAAGGATGGCTGTATGTTTTGAAAGCAAGTAACCATACACCCATTGCAGGCATTGTGTAAACAACTGTCTGAACAAGTAGTAATTGAAACTTGAGTTGGTGACAATTTGAAACAGGTTACAGAGAGGGAGAGAGGAGGAGAGCCCGTGAAAGTGTTTAGTTCTTCCCCAGCTTGGGAGTCATTTCTCTGTTCTCTGCAGTCAAAACTCACTGTAAACCTGAAGAAAACCAGATTATCTTCCCTGCAACAGTTGTCTGATCTGACTTTTAACTGGCATGTCAGAGGCATTTTATAAGGCAACCAGTGACCCAGAGTCTCTCATCAAACTAGTGCAAGCATCTAGACAAAGACGGCTGAAGCAATGATCAATAGAATGTGGAGCAATGACTACTAAACTGTCCTTCTAGGTTATGCCCTCTGCCAATAACTTATTTTCCCTGACTGTTTGTCATCTTGTCTGCGTGTATGTGTGGACAAATTTAAAGGGAATTAGAGTTTTAACTAGTAGTGCTTTTTGCCAATGGTTTAACTGTTTACCTCTAGCTAGAGTCTAAGTACTTGTAATAAATAGCAATTCCCGTTCAGTACAGAAGCCTGGTCCCTGCTTTCAATCAATCTTGGTCTCAAAATCAGGTAGATTGAGGAACTTGGCATATTTTAGAAAATGTCTAAAGTTGTGGCAAGTCCGGGAATAGCTGGGGTCAATTTCCAGTGTGCCATACCAGTGAATTAAGACAAGAGCTTGGAGATACAGGCTGTTTGAATCCATGAGCGGAGTGTGTGTCCCTGTGTGTAGTATCCTTGCATTACAATGATGGTTGCTAGTACAGCCCAAGATGCAGAAGCATGCTGTACATGGATTGAAGGTACGGCATGAGGATTCCTACAGGCTCAGGTGCTAATGTCTAGGGATGTGGGGTGCATATGACTGGTGCCCATGGGACGTGCCTGGAGACGTTGTTGCCAGATGTTCAACACAGAGGCCACTCACAGTCAATGGCAATCTGAAGTCACCAGGTACCTGCTCTGAATTTATGTTGAGAATTCTTGACATCTCGCTTGTTCAGTAAGATAGGAAGTTGAATATTAATAAGGCAAGTTGCAGAGTTAATGAAATGTTGAACAAGCAAGACTCCCCTTTGATTGGCAACCTGCCACTGCCTAATGAGAAACTCACCCTGCTGATGAATAAAAGATGCAGCAAGATGCTATCGATATCAAGATGCACCTTGCTGGATCTCTCACT